TTTTTTTTCCTCCCTTCACCTTTCTAGCTCTACACATTCCTCTTTCTGTCTTCCTCTTCTTGCCTCCAGATGTTTCTCTAGCCATGTCATGCAGACACTGACAGAGAGCGGTCAGGCTGTGTTCATTCCATCCATTTATTGAAAACAGATATAACAGGAAGAATTCATTCCTGTAGAGCAGCCCCCCATTACAACAATCAATAAACAACGGCTGGTTTTAAAAGCATGTGTGACATTTAACAGATTTCAATAAAAGCTGCACCATTATCGCTATAAAAAGGGTAACAACTTGTGATGTATAACTCTCAAATATTATAGAGGGAACACTTATAGTTTCTGGAATATTTAGTCAAAAGTCAGCCCTTTGCTTTCCAAGAAAGTACAAGTCACTATGACGGTGGATGTGGAAACATTCAGAATTAACCCAGTTGGAAAACACATAAAAACTTAACAGGACTTTATTGACACAGTTGTTTACCTGCCTCATATCCACAGAAAACCTGAAGGGACATTCTAACAGTTTCAGACACTGTTGGGCCTTGAACTTTCTGGAAAAGGACTCAACTGTCAGTCCTAACCTCAAAACAGCCAAATGAATGGGGTCTGAGGATGGTAGTTAACAAGGCAGATGTCTACCACCCAAGTGGGCATCCTACATATGGTTGTATCCCATCCTCTTTGCTCTACTAAAGTAAAGGAGCAAGCATTAGTATGAATAGTAACATTTCAAAACTGATGATAGAACTCGCAGATTTCCAACATCCATTAACTAATCCTTCAGTTTGTGTAGTGCAAGTTTCCCCATATTTTAAAACATGCTTTAGAGCTTTGTTGTTTAAAGCAAACCCTAACCCTAACCCAAAGCAGTTATCAGCCTTCAGGAATGAACCGGCTTAATAAGTGTATCTTTATGTTCCCCCATGACGGACGAGACCTGTCATCACTGTCAGCACCCCGGCTGAGTTAAGGAGCACCAAATGATTTTCCATAACACGAAGCTGGCAGCACATATTATTTATGCTTTTTTCACCCCATAAGCCACAGTCAACATCGTTCAACAAAATTGAATTGTAATCGTTCTCCTTATAGAAAAAGCAACCCAACTGCACACAATTAAAGCAGTGAGACACAAAGCAGACTATGTTGAAACATTTGGGCTGCATTATGAGGATGTTTACAAAGTTGAAATGGGTTATGTTGATAAGAAAGGCCTTCGTTTGGCTGCTTTAAGGAATGTTTAATTAATTTCAAATCTGTCAATCCTTTGGAATGTGCTGAATCATGTACAAAAATAGTTTTAAAAGAAAACATATGAGGAAGCAGTCAACAATTTTTTACAAACTTGTTGACAGTAAACATCCATTTAAGGTTTCAGAGAAACTTTTTGAATTAACTTTGTCTGCTACTATTACTACTATTGCACTGAGGAATAATTTTGACCTTTTAGTTGCACTTGTTTCTAGTTTAACCTTCAGATAAAGTGGGTTCATCAAACATCCTTTTAGTCACAATGTACTGGCATCTCATAATAAATGACTTATCATTAAGTGAGGAAAAATAATGGAAAAATACAGTCTACTTACTTATTATTTCCTGTTCTTCATCAGATAGAGTTTGCTTGGTTGTCTTTTAGGTCTCACCTAGGCCACGTAAACAAATGTATGTCTGTGGCAACAGAGCCAGCTTTGTCCATTGATGAAGACTGTAAGATGTGATTAGGCGCTTTCACACCGGAGTACTTTTCCCAGGAATAGTTCCGATAGTTCTTGGGATTTTGCGTTCAGACAAAATCTGGAACTAGAACTTAGTTCATGCAAACCTTTTCACCCCTTTTCAGTCCAGGTACTTTCCTGGGGAGGAAAAGGTTCCAATTTCTGATTGGCTGGGCGAATTGCAAACCACGCCCCGTAAAACTCCCAAAAGGTTTTGTGAAGCCGCCATTTTATTTGCTGGCACTAGCATTATTAGCATTAGCATTAGCCCAGCGCACTAACGGAGAGAGTCTAACTTATGGCAACACAAAATAAAACGTGGGAATGGTGGAGTGATGAGGAGGTGTCGGCGCTTCTGGCGATTTACCCGGGACTTCGGGTGGCGATTTACTGCCACCCGAAGTCCGGGAGTCCGGGGGAGTCCGGGAGACTCCGGGACTTCGGGTGGCAGTATACGCCGTGAAGTTGTTTGCGGCCTGCCAGTAAACCCAAAACAGAAGAAGAAAAAGTGACGTCAGCGGCTTCATTTGCCTAATCCTCCCTCAGGGACTTATTCCGGTGTGAACGCAATTTACTAGGACAGTTCCGGGACTAAAGGGTTCGGCGGGACTAAGTACTGGGAACTAAGTACAGCAAAGTACTTGGTGTGAAAGCGGCTATTGAAAGCTCTGGGAAATGCTAGAAGACCCTGACTTATGGCTCAAACATAGTATCGGGGTCCAAACTTAGTTGTTGAATTGGAAATGATGAGTTAACTGTTTAATGTATCACACGTAAAAAGAGAAGAAATTCATAATTATGATAAATTATTAGCATTTTTGGGTAATTTTTCATTGAGTTGCAGATTGACCAATGAAGAATTTTGTACCATGCTCTGAATATAGTATAGTGTATTCTATATAATAACTGTTACTCTTACGGTTTAAAAACACCAGGACACGACCCTCTTTAAGCGCACTGTAGACCAACTGTTGTGCATTGTGGTAAACGATAAAGTCGACAAAAAAACATATAACTGTGCTGTCAACATGATGCATGGTGCGTAACATGTAAAATGCCTGTTATTTGTATGATGGGATATGCAGGTCAGAACGTGGTCTGCCAGCGTGATGCGTGCTCATGGTACATGTATGGCTCACATATGAGTACAGCATATGTTGACAGCAAAAAAATGTGCTGCTCGAATCACTTGCGGAGGAAGGAAACAAATAAATCTGTCCAGATCCTTGTGTTCCCACAAAACCTCAAATTATAAAGTGCATTGTGCCAGTGTTATGTCGTGCCGTCAGCGTCTTTGAGTTTGCAATTAATGATTTACGGCCTGAAATGTGCTACATTGTGGCAATGTCATGCAGAGGAATGTTGACTGGGAGAGAGACTCTGTAAAGAAGGACAGATTAATAACTAGATAATATCAGTTTCCTCGAGGGGCTAAAAAACAAAGGTGCACACGCAAGATAAAGACAAGTTTGTTGAGTAAGACAAATAGTATCTCTTATTGCAGTTTGCTGAGACTGCAACAGAGGCGGGTTGAACATGTGGTTCGGGAAATGAGACGTACAGGTTTGTGCCAGCAGTTGTCAGATTTCATTTTGTCTTTAAACTGTCCCGAGGCAAATTACAATACACTCTGTTCTGGAGGATCCCAACGGATGTGCAAAACAGGGAGAATGTTATGTTATCGCCCCATTGCTTGACTTTCATCAAGCTATCTATTCTATGATATCTGATCAAGCAAAAATGTCATAAAACTTGAGAATGTCATATCCATTTACTGTAGGCTGTTTATGTATTGTCTGAAGACTGGTTTAGTAGCTGTATTCAGCCAAGGAAACAATAACAGCACATCAGGATGAACCCTATCACCTTTAGGTCATGACAAAATAAACTTTGATCGTACTGTATCCACACAAGGTGTCTTTTTGCTGAATTTGTTAAAACAATAAGGGCGCTTTAGGTAAATCCTACACTGGATAGACGGGCAGACAATAAACAAGCCAAAGGTCAGAAACTGAATATTTCAGACAAGGAAAAATGCAGAAATAGAAAAAACAAGTCAAGTAATAAGAAAACTAATATTAGCCGAGTCGTATTCTTGCTATTCCGGGGTGTTTCCTTACCCTCTGCTTGTTTTTCATAATGCAGTCTCAACACTTTTTCTGCTTCTGTGGTGGAAATCACACAATGGCCGATACTGATTGCTTTATTTTCTCAGTGTGTACCCCCCTCTCGCGTTTGTTATTGCAGAACAGGAGGATATGCCGGACAGGGGGGCGATGCTGAGCCTGCAGAATCCGAACACGTTTTTTAATATAATAATTTGAAATCCTGTGGGGTTGAAGGGGGGCACACTGGAGGGAAGGTGCCGGGGGTCTGGATGCTTGCCGGGGGAGAGGGATGGGGGTGATCCAAGGTGCCGGATCACCAAGTCTGCTCAGGGTATGTGAAAGGTGAGCACTACTTCTGAAACTGCTTGGACGAAGGGTTCAGGTATGCAGTCTGGCCTGCACGTGCGCGCTAACTGTGGCCGATGTTGGGCATGTGCACCCCAACACTGCAGCTTCTGCAACCCGCAACAGTCAAGCAAACCTCTACGGCTAAACCCACCACTGAGCCTGTGGTGACACAAGTTATATGCAAAGAAATTATTGTTTTAGTGGGTTAATATGGAGGCCACCTACACACCTGCCCAGAGGAATGTTTATCAGTATTGCATGTGGGGGGTTCCACCAATGGCATTCACTACATACCTATGATTCCAGCCGGGGATGTGGCCAGTGGTGCGGAAACCTCCACAGGTTGAGGAACAGTCAACACAGGAGAAATCTTTCCTGGTGCAGCATTTTTCTCTTCTCGTAGAAATCTGCATCTGTGCATTTCATCTTTAATATATAAAAAAAGAAAGAAATATAACTGAAAGCAAGGAGTAAGGTAACTGACACTTGCATGCTTGCCTGCATGTCATCTGCAGCTCACTTTATAGACAAGGATTTTCCAGATTGAAATGAACACCTTTGCTTTGTCTTATCAGAACAGAGTGAGCATGAGAGAAGAAAAGTCCTCAGTAAATTATTATAAGGGATTAAAAGTGTTGAACGTGTGCATCTCTCTCTCTCTCTCTCGCTCTCTCTCTCTCTCTTCTCTCCTCTCTCTCTCTCTCTCTCTCTCCTCTCTTCTCTCTCTCTCTCTCTCTCCTCTCCCTCTCTCTTATCTTCTCTCTCTCTCTCTCTCCTCTTCTTCTCCTCTCTCTCTCTCTCTCTCTCTCTCTCTCAGACTGGTGTAGCGGTCCCTCATATCGGGGCTCTCCGTTTACATTATTCATACGGAGGAGGGTGTGACTTGTTGGCTCTTTTTTCCGCCTGTATAAAACGAGAAGTTCGCGTAAAAGAAAATACAGATGGAGAAGGCTAGCCGGATCGCTGTGTCACAGAGAGTGCCCTTAAGCCGACGTGACAACTCACATACTGTCCCTTTGTGACCAGCTTCATAGGCAGAATGCCCGGTATCTGCGTGCTTTGTCTGGCCGCCGCTTTGGCTGCGTTCACCCGGCTGGCCGGAACGGTGGGGCCGGTGGTCCGCTGTGAGCCGTGCGAAGCCAGGGCGCTCCTGCAGTGCACGCCGCTGCCCAAGGACTGCACGGAGCGGCTGAGGGAGCCCGGCTGCGGCTGCTGCATGACGTGCGCTCTCGGTGAAGGACAGGCGTGTGGAGTGTACACGGCGCGCTGTGGCTCCGGCTTGACCTGCCAGCCCCAGCCGGGGGAGAGCCGACCCCTGCAGGCTCTGCTGCAGGGACGGGGAGTGTGCTCCAGCGCCGCGTCCAAAAAACTCAACAACATTCTTATAACGGCGCAAAAACAAGGTAGGCTAGGTGTTTTCATTACATTTGTAATAGTTTGGGAATTATATTGGGTTTTTTTTGTGCGTGCGTAATTATTGGGTGTCGTTGACAGCCGCTCTCTCCATGAGGGGTTCTCTGTGCGGAGTTCCATGCGCATGTACAAAAGAAAGTGCGTAGTATTGATAGTGGATGTGATAAAGACTGGCCTTCTGAAGATGCAAAGCACAAATAAATATGCGCAAAATGCATTCTGTGGGTTGTTTTGCAGCCTGCCACAACGTAAATCACCATTTTAGTCGTGGGGTTTTAGAGGGGAGGCTTGACATTGCACAGTGATGTGTTCGCCTGGGTTTAACAAATCCCATAGGCTCCTGAAAGTTTTAGTGGATAACACCAGCTGGGTTGGACGTTTACGCAGCAATTTATCGTTGCTTTCCCACCAGGAGGAATCTCTCCCATTTGTGTACTGATTTTGACAATGATGCGTTATATGTCAAATGAAATGTAAGGTATTAAAAGATTGTCGTGCAGAATGTTTGTTTAACGGTAAGGATAACACTGCTCTCTAACACACACACACACACACACACACACACACACACACACACACACACACACACACACACACACACACACACACACACACACACACACACACACACACACACACACACACACCACACACACACACCACACACACACACACACACACACCACCACACACACACACACACACACACACAGCCTGGCTCCCTCAAACCAATAGTTAAGGAATGCCACATACATTCAGTAAGTATACCGTATTTAGCTGAGGCTGAGCCCAGACCATGTCCTTGTCTTCTGTAATGTCCTTATTTTCCTTCAAGGAATGCTCATGGATTTTTGTACACGGCATGAAAATATGTGCTGCCTCTTTCCTTGTCCAGGATGTTTGCCAAAACATCTCGACTGTGTGGCAAAAGAGAAGGGGGGGGGGGGGGGGGGGGCAATGTCCCTGAATTCTCTATAAGCAACCAATACACTCACTCAAGACTTAATCATTGAACTCAAAATGTGCACCTGGTCAATGCATGGTTGTTTCTCTGCTAATATTAAGAGATATTTTATATCTGCATGGTGTTTTGTGTGAATGGATGCATGCTGCTCGCACTGGTGAAACGGCACACATGTCACCTACATGTGAATACACACTGTTGTGTGTTTAGGCACTGCTGACGTCAGACCTCCAGGAGCCTCTGTGTGTTTTCTTCTTCCTGGTTATTTGTTTTGGCCATGGTAGCGTGCAGTGTGCAAGCACACATTGTCATATACACCAGCATACACACACACAGTTACTGCAGTCCTACTTTTTCACTTCCTGACATGTAGCCTGCATATTTCTCCTCCTCTCTCCTCCTCTACTGTCAGTTATTATGCCTTTTGACTCTTTGATTAAACACAAAAATAAAAGTATTTCCAATTTAAGAGCAAAGAGATGCATCTTATAGCACTGTTATGGCTTGTCAAGAAGAAGACAATACATATCAGCCGCGAGACAGGTTTCAATACAGTCTATGGTCTCAATGCATGCTTATTTCTAGTATCTCCCCTATTGAAGAAATGTAGGAAATGATCACAAGCGCCCCTGATGGTGAGAGTGTGTAAATGCGGCCCAGTGGTTTCCACCACCATCAGTCCCCAGCTCCAGTGCAGCCTCTCCTCCCAGACATTAACAAGCTCTCCTCACCGCAGTTTGTGCTGTTTACCCCTATGCCATTATACAAACAAATTGCGTAATGTGTTTATCTAAAACGCCCCAGACATCCTAGAAATGTTATATAAAAGTTTATATTGACAATAAAATGTAATGCTTGCAGGAATCTTAAAAAGGGCTCAATATTGTTGTCCTTGTTTATGGAAGTTTATGGAAATGTTTTGAAGGGTTCAGAAAACCCATGTGAAGGTTGTTTTAGGTTAAAAGAGCATTTGTTGGTTTCTGACGTCGTCTTGTTTTAGTTGATGCTGTTGTTGACATTCATGTTGTTATTCCAAATCCCGAAGAGCCTGGGAGACTATGGTGCCCCACCACCTCACTAATTGATCAGGTGGTCACAGAGAAAGGGTGGGCTGCCAGCCTGCCTGCCCACACGAGCTACACCCCTAAATGTCCGTCCGCCGCCCTCACCCGCAGCTCTCGAACACAAAATCTGCTTTGAGTTAACGGTTTAAAACTGTGTTTGGGTGTGTGTGAGCCACTGCATGTTCCCATCGTCCCTCTGCCTCTTCAGGACGTCTCCAAGCTCAGTTAGCTCCTCCGACTTTGGCCTTGTGGTGACGTTACCCGGCAGGCGGCACATTGCGTGTAGTTTGGTCAATTCCTATATTAGGTAGGAGTGTCTAGAGCCCCCTCCTCTCTTCCCAATTGGTCAGATGGTCCCCCCTCTGTCTTTAACGGTTTGACAGTAATCTTTGCCAAAGGCTAATAATACATCTGCTCCCTCATCTCCCACTTTATCTCTTACTGTGCTAACCTCCTCCTCTTTTAGCCACAATCCCCTATTTCACCACCCTACACATATAATGCATACATAACATGTTCTTCTCCCAAGTGACCTTAAAAAGTCTTGTTTACACTCATTGAGCCTCTGCAACTATCTTTTGGTCTGCATGTTGTGGAAATGTGTGGATATGAAATCGTCATGTTTCTGTTTATTTTCTCCAACCCACAAAGCATGAGCTAACTTGTTTTTTTCTCTGTTGGATTGACACAGGCTTTTAACATCCTGTAGAACAATGTTTTATTGGAATAGTAAAGTAAAATCATAGCTGAGTTGATGATATTAAGTCACTGATTTTGTACAAAATAGATATTTATTGTAAGGATTCAAGTTTTTCTGAAACCTTACATTTCAGATTTGTAAAACTTTCTGGTGAAACGAGTTATTCTACTTTTCCGGCATAGGCCTACTGTAAATAGGAAAGATACGAGTATTTAGGCAGTCTGTGGAGTCCAATGTAGTCTACATTTGAAGAATTTAAGTATATTGGTTTTGGGGTTTTTGGAGGTTACAGTATGTAGTAAAACTGCCTCAAGGACAGGTCGGATATACAGCTAAATGTCATAGGATCTGATGCTAACTTGTGCATTGTTCAGTTACAAACATTTTAAAACTGATGACTTGCCTTTACCCCTTCAGATAACGCTGGAAATCAGGTAGTAGGCTGTTCCAACAAGACCACAACGGTGACGATGGTGCCTGGCGTGGTGACCGTGAAGGGTGGGCACAGTCGGGGGTCGATTGACAGCAGGCTTCCGATGCACAACAAGCTGATCCAGAAAGATCAGAACAAGAAGACTCAAAGCTTCAAGTTGGAATCGGTTTCAGGGGGAGCCAACATGGACATGCACAACTTCTCCCTGGAGAACAAGAGGGAGACCGAGTATGTAAGTCACACTAAAGGCAATGAGATGTCTGTAAAGTGTTATAGTGTTGTTATACTTGTATGATAAACAGTAGAGGCTCTTAGAGACCTGCTACAACATTTAAAAAGCACACATTCAAATTTCAACATGATAGTGTTTGCCTTTTGAAAACAGAAATCAGGAACATTATTACGCAAAAACGTCCAAAAAAAAAGCGTCCTTAAAAAATCATTAGCGTTATCTTGCAATATTTTTTGCTAGCAAACTAGTTAGTTCTCATTCTTACGTTACAAAAACAATGCTTTGTGTATCATGCGCATTTACTTTGAAAAAGTTATATACATTTAAGTGTAGGTGGCAATATGATAACTGAAATAATAAAAACAACATAACGTTACCCCGGGGCAGATAATCGCAGAGGCTGACAGCAGTCCGGTGTTTTGCTAGCTAGTTAGCGTTAGCTCTCGAGCTACTATTTAGCAATATGTATCTTTTCACACATTTATAAATAATAAAGTCGGTCGTTACTTTCTTGTTTGCTAGTTAGTAAGCTCACTGACGTTAGCTTGCCGTAATTCGCAAATTCGTCCAATGCAAGCCAGCTAACTAGTGATATTGCTTGTGCAGTTGTTAGGTAGATAGCATGTTGTCTAACTTGTGGCCGACTTTTATCGACTTTCTTTTATATTTGACAAGTTTTAGTTTGTTACCTGACGTTTTGCCAGCCGCTTTTACCACTTGGCAGTAGGCCTACAGCCTAGTGGGCGTTCAGGATAGAGAGACGCCACAACTCACATGCATTGATGATAACCCAGGCACTGCACTATGTGACATTATTAATATAAAGATAAACCAGATACAATCATAATAAGAAACTGTTTTTGATGTGAAATGTGGTCAGTGCTATTATATTTCATGCACCTAGTCTTTCTATAAAGTAACCAGTAGCACTTAAATTGTCCATAAACCTATATTCACAATTGTTCAAGGCTGTCTTTAAACATTTATCCGGTACCCGTATAAACATTGTCTCAAACATATTTGATACATATAAGACATGTTTAACTTGTATTACTGTAGTAGAAAAACCACAGGTGCAACAAATTACACTAACGACCAAGGGTGCACGATACCAGGAACCTGAAATCAGTAGTTAATAAAAACTATCAATTATTCATTTGATTATTTACACCTGTTCATCTTTGGACATTGCATTTTATTTAGGTTATTGGGTCACAATTTATTTTCAAAAAGGTTTCTTGACTTAAAACTATTCCTGATCCAAAATCGATACTCAATTCAATACAGCAGGGTGCTTAATTTACTGTAGGATGTACTAATGAAGGCTGTGTGGAATGAAAGCAGAGTAAAAATGTTATAGGACTGCTTTTTTAAATATTTGATAAAGTTGTATGAACTGATTGCAATAATGTAAACACACAAATACAATCCAAAGACAAAAGGTCATGTTTAATCATGCTTAACTTCCACAAATAAACACCTAAATAAATAGTATTTCTAAATCATTGGTGACTTAAAATAAACAATAAACTAGTTCCAGTTAAAGAAAATCTTCTCTGCATCTGAAACTCACCAGATTCAAAATAAATGGGGTTTTAAAGTTGATATATGGAAGATCTTCTTGGAATATAAGAGTCACAGTTCCCCTTTTAGGACTAACCTCTGTCAATAGGCATTAAACCATATGCTATGTTGGGACAGCAGTCTGCAACATTTTCATTGCATGCCTTGGACTCCACCTGCTGATTAGCAGACCTGGTAAAGAGGGAGAACTCATCAGTAAAATTAATTTATTGGAATTACTGCTGGCTCTTCATAGCATATGGATGCATTTGGCAAGAATGCATACAGCTGTCATCCTGTGGTAGATGATTTGCGTGCACCCTTTAAAAATATACTAACAGTTAGGGGAATCTCAACAAGACCTTGCTCTGCAGACCAATTTGTTTTTAAATACTCCACAGAGTACCTTTTTAAGTTATTAACTATCATTTTTAAACAACATTTTCTAGAAATGGTAAGCCTGGACAAAACAATAGGATAATCACTGCAACCCAAAGTCTTATATATCTCAAATGTTTGTTTGAAAAAGCAGACACCTACATTATGTTCATCATATACTGTGTAAAAATGATCTTAAAGGGAGAGTTAATTGGACATTCTGATGTTCACCATGAACTGCTATAATTGCATTGTGATGGTGTAAGGATGAGTGTGTAACAGTGGCGTCCCCGGGGTGTGTTTGCCGTGTTGCTAGGGGCCGTGTCGGCGGGAGATGGAGAGCATCCTGAGCGGTCTCAAAATCAGCAACGTGCTCAACCCGAAAGGTTTCCGCATACCCAACTGTGACAGAAAGGGCTTCTACAAGAAAAAACAGGTGAGTGGCTCTCTCTGCTGTTTTATCTCCCCTTTTCACTCACACACTTCAACAAGGACACACACTACTGCTGACATGGAAGTAGACCCACCGCATGCCTGAACACTTCCAAAGAATCCTAAGCGACTCATCCCACCCACCCACATATGCACAATCCCCCTTTCTTTTCTTTTTTTGCAGCTCAGGTTGCCTTGACAGCCACATCAACACTATATTATCAGAATGGCTAATAACCATGTATTACTCTCCGGTAAATGCACTACAGCCGTCTGACTCATGCCTCACAGGAAATGAAGTCGGTCAGGTGTGTTTGTGGGTGTGTGGTGTGGGAGAGTGTGGGGGGTAGGGATGTAAGAATGCGGTCTGGGAGTGTGTGTGGCACGGTAGATGTGGCGGCAGGGGAGTGTATGTATGGCGCTTGTTTGATGGCGGTAGTTTTGGTGAGGGTGTGTAGGTGTGGGGTGCTGTTGGTGAGATAAAAAAAACAAACAGGCTGTCACTGGTTTAGTTTTTCTTGTCCGTTGTACAGCAGATTCAGGCCACCCATGGCCTGCTCATTTGTAAGACTGGAGGAAAAAGAAAACGGGAAGCTAAAATTCATTCGGAAAAGATGGGTGGCTGATGTGTTGACCTGAGGGGAGGAGGGGATCGTTGGGAAGGTGTAGAGTGGATGGGAGGTGTTGTAGCGCAGTACTTAGACTCAAGGCATGTCAAATTGATACCACTGTCCCATTTCCTGAGATTGGGAGCCTTATCGGAGGGCTTCCGCTGAGATAGAGCCCATTCTGAGAAACCAAAGAGTCACCAAATAAAATAAACCCACAAGCACCATGACTCAGAGACCAACTCGAGCCATAACACATACAAAGACACACACACAAATCATTACTCTTTTCCAGTCCTAAAAAGTTAGGCTTCATTGTTACTTTTATTAAAATCAGAGTCTTTTTCTTGTTCTTTTCCTGGATTACATCAACAAATACCTACAAGGAAAGTGTCAGTTCTGTTCTTCTAAGCGTGTGTGTGTGTGTGTGTGTGTGTGTGTGTGTGTGTGTGGTGTGTGTGTGTGTGGTGTGTGTTGTGTGTGCGTGTGTGTGTGTGTGTGTGTGTGTGTGTGTGTGTGTGTGGTGTGTTAATGTGGTGTGTGTGTGTGTTAATGTGTATGTGTGTGTGCAGCAGTGTGCCAGCCCTTGTCGCCCTTTTCTGAGAGGGTTCGGTGGGGTAGGGGTGTTGTGTTAAATCCATCCCAGGGGATGTGCCTTCACGGTGTGTTGCGGAGATTTATGACCGGAAACACAGCGAAGAGGAGACCGTGTGAACCGTTTAGGGTGACAATACTGTGAAAAGAAGGGAGCAAAGGGGGAAGGGTGGGGGAGGTTGGAGGGAGGGATGAGCGGGTGGATGGTGGGTGAAGGACTTTGCAGAGGAAAAAAGGGGCATAAGCATACACATGATACACAGGATGCCTCAGTATATTAAATTGATACCACACCCGAAATCTTTAATACTCAGGCGCTGTTGAAAGGTGGCTGGTAGGAGACGGTAGTTTCATCTTTCATGGGGACCTTTTCACCCAAATAGTACCAGGAAATAAATTGGGAACTTACCAAGTGGTTCCAGGAAGGAAGGATCAACAGGAATTAAAATGTGAACTATACATAAGTCCCTTTGTGCTTTCCTGATAACAGATCAGATAACGGTAGATAAAGGTTACGTATTTCACAGACAAAGAAGATGAAACATAGATTCATAAGTTGGAAAGCTGTTGCTCGTTTCCTACAGTCAGGAATTTGGATACATTTCTATTACTTTTGCAAAACTTACTCCACATGGTAAAATTAGCATCAGCCTTGTATTACTTTTACCTTGATGATCATACACATATACATTGGTTTTGTGTTCAGGGAGACCAGTATGTGATATTAAGTACAGCCGACTTTGAAACATTGGTTGCTGGTCCACCAGAAAGCACTAACTTCCACTACAGTACTTTTATAAGATAATAAACTAGAAACAGGTTAATCTGGTCGAAATCCAGAAAACCGCCCAGAGTTCGTAGAAGGTTTTAGGCTTCCTGGAAAAGAAAAGGCCCTATGGTCATATTCGATGAATCATGGATTCAAGTTGTGATATATTTTACCAGTAAAATAAAAGGAAGAAATTGATCATAGAAACCACATCTGCAGCATTATTTGGTAGCCGTCGCTCAGTGTGGAAATGGCTGTCTACCAATCAGGGGGTCAGAGGTTCAATCGTCTGCCCATAAGCACTTCATATACAATATTGAAGTGAATGTAAGTCGTTTTGGATAAAGGTGTCTCTCAATTGTTGTGACTATGTGCGCATTACCTGCGCATTACCTGGGTTGAATAAGAAAACTTGCCACATTTATGGCAAAAGTTGTTGCAACAACCTTTGCGTTGATGCCATTTACCACACTCAAAATCTTAGAACTTTTGACCATCTTTCTCACATTTTCTTCCAAAAATGTAAAGGTTTTCCCTTGGAAACCAAGAGCTTTGGTCCATCAAAACTCATGATTTGGTATCAAACATTTTTGACATTTAGAGATTCCTCTAGGAAATCGCATTTTCAGTCAATCAATGGCAAGCACTTTTGTTCTGGAAACCCCCACATCATTGATATAAGCCCAACGTCCTCTGAAAGCCCTCAGTCTTTGGATTGCTGTTCCAGACACTTAAGAAAAACTCAACGCAGCAGACATATTTGTTTTTCACGCCTGCTTCATCGACGGTACACGTCACATTCAATTAAATTCTATTTATTTTGGTCCCAAAGGGGCAATTTGAAAAGGCATCTAGAGCATACTGCACTAGTGGAGCCTCGCAGATGGGGGGCTGCAGCCCCCTCAGCACCCCCCCCCTTCCCACGTCCATTCGCGATGTCTCGCTGTCTCGCAGACCCCACGCAGCAACCAGGAAATGAACCCAGCTCACACTGTCCGCTCCTCGCAGCAGCGAGCTGCGCAACGTCCCGCCAACACGGCACCCAGACCCCACGCAGCATTCTCATCTGTTTGTCATTACTAGTGTCATTTTCTGGTTGCTAACAAACGCCATTGTAACACATAATCACTGATGTTCCGCTGTAACGGTGGTGGACTCATCAGAACAGAGTGGGCGAGCTGACCAATCAGAGCACACTGGGCTCACAGGGAGGGGGGGGGGGCAGGAGCTCCAACAAGCCGTTTAGGACAGAGAGTGAATACACATACTATACACAGATGCTGTATGAGAAACCAATGTGAGTTTGGAAAATTGCGCAATATAAATCTATTCTAGTAGACCTCAACAATGGAATTATGATCAGTAGAAATGGCCATGACATGGGACCTTTAAACTATTTTTCTTTTTGTATTACTATTTACTTGCACTATATTTTTCTGTTTATCTGTGTTTTGTGTTGCACTGTTGGAGAAGCCTGTGACACAAGATTTTCATCGGCATAACTACACTGTAGCTATGTTCGTATGACTAAATAAAGAACCTTGAACCTTGATGACGGACAGATGTATCAACCTTAAAGAGACACTTTTTTAAGACTAGAGGATATGTATGTACTATAAAAATGGATTAGTGGCAGAATATTGTTTTAAGAGGTCAACTATCATGACAAGCATTTACGTGTGTGTGCTTTCCAGTGTGTACGTTGCTGGTAATATGAGTGCTGTAGGAGAAGGTTGGCTGAACAGTGTGAGCCCTACCTCGGCTACAGGGAAAGTATTTTTAGCAACAGTTATATGAATTGGCCCAGTATCCCAGTTCAGGCCATGCATGCCCAACACTGACCCACTCATTACACCTCTCAAAGTCTCACACTCACTCTCACTTCTCCTCCCTCTCACGCACTGTCAGTCTCAGGCTCTTATTCATAATTTCACCCACCCATCATTGCCCCCCATTGTGGCTCGCCTACAGTCATCCACCCGTCTTTTCTTCTGCTTCCCTTCTCCATCATTCTGCCCATCCTGCCTTCTGCCCACCTGGCTTTCCCCTTCGTTGTTTGGCCAGGAATTACCCTGCAGAGGTTTGTGAATGGAACACCAGTGTCTGTGTTTTGAGAGGAAGAGTAGGAAGAGGAATTGGCAGTGGGTTAAGGATGCTAGCCAGGTGCCTGCATACCCTTTATGCCTCCTCCCTGCTGACAGTGGCAGGCCCATAAGGAGTGACTTATTGAGCGTGACTCAGAAGGATCTGTGGAAACGTACACACCGACCACAATGGCTATATAATAACTGGCCAACCTTCGGGGACCCAGACAGCTATTTTCACTCTGTCTCTCTCGCTCGCTCTGTTCCCTCCCCGGATTTCTAATCCACATCGGCTTCCTTCTCACTTGGGGATGTGGAGACGCTTTTCTTTGTTCTTTGGTTGTTACATAACATTGAGAGTAGTATGTTTCATTGTCACAATGATTTCACAGACATACTGTATGTCAGTGTATGAGTTGAGTTTTGATACCCCATCCTGAAATTCATCACTTTAATTATTGCCAGTTTATCATTATTTTCTTACGATCATGAGTCTTAGAATCAATCGATTATATTTTCCAGAAACAAGGGTCATTGTAACAAAATGTCTGTATCTGACAATGTAAAAACTATTTAGGAATATATGACTGTATTTTAGGCCCTAAAGTTTATAAATTGTCAAAGCGATGTCTTTCAAAAGTAGGGAGATATCTTATTACAATACGATTGACTTTATTGTCTGTGTAAGGAGATTTGTTCTGGACTTGGTCTACAGTTCCACAACATATCAACAAAAAAATGTATACATAGTACAGATAGAAACTATATACTCAGTTTTCACATACATGTACACCTATACACAGACAAACCTACTGACATGGCAAACATTTAAACTATACATTACATTTGTCTGTTGAGAAGCTTAATGGACATTGGCAGGAATGAGTGTTTGTAACTGTTCAGCCTGCTTTAAGGGAAACTAAATCTAATTAAATAATATTAATTGTGT